TATAACTCAGGGTTCTCCCCTGTAGTGCGCACATCTCTTAATGTAGAGACCTATGGGAAGGTTGACATCACCTGCTATGGGGTGGTGCCCCCTCCCTTCCCTACAACCCCAGCCTTTCTGTACCTGTATAGTTGGGAAGATCTCCTTGACCTTGAGAATGAGAAAACTGTGGTCTCTTTATTTTTTTTCTGGGTGGGACTCAGCTCCTCCCAGCTCCTGGCATTATCTTATCTTGGAGTAGCTGCCCACACAGGACAGATTTCAGCTGCTCAGCCTGCGGCCCATCTACATCTCCTGCAACACTAATTTTACACCCTTTACTATCTTTCAAAGGTCAGGTTTTTGTTTTCTTTGCCCACCAAAACAGAAACAAATTCCAACCCTAGGAGGCTACAGCCTGAATAACTGGTTTAGAAATGCAAGCCAAAAGCCCAGAAGGCAGCGTGGTAGTGTGTATAAGTGTGTTTCTGTGTGAGTGAGAGATAGGGAAGAGGAGATTGGAGTTGGAGTGATGAGAGAAAAGGGTTAGAAAAGTTCTAATACAAATCCAGAGTGGCTCTAGGAGGACAGCTTTGGGCCACACGGAGGCAAACAACATTTACTCTCCAGATTCCACTGCTGGGAGTCAGTGGCCCAGAAGTAGGGTCTAGAGAAGGGAAGAATGGAAGATAGGAGGCAGAAGGATAAATGGAACTGCAGAGGCAATGCCTAAAGGGGTAGACCAACTATGGCTGATAACTATTGACAAACTGCATTCTGTAAACCAGACAGTATGTTAGACACTTTAGAGACATTCCTTCAAAACCTCACACAAAGACATATTATCCTTCTCATTTTACAAGAGGAAATAGGCCAAAGAGAATATATTATTTACTCCAGATCACTCAGCTATTAAGTGGCAGAAACAGAATTCAAAACCAAATCTAGCCCACTGTAAACCCAGAACTCATCACATTATACTTTGCCATTAACTGGGTGAGGGAATGATACAATTCAGCTCACAATAAGGGAAAGTTTGTATAGAGCAACCTTAATAGCACTCAGTATACCTGTGGTCATCTGTTTGCTTTGTTTCTGTCCCTTAGACTGTGATCTCTTTGAAGATAGGACTGTATTTCTCATATTTGTCTTCCAAGTACCTAGCATACAATGGATACCAGTTCAGCCTTAGTTTTTTTTATTGAACATTTATGATATTCCAGACTCATAAGGCTCTGGGACACGGCTGGCTTCATGGATGTGCAACTAGTGAAGTTAACACAGGAGCATGTGCTCAGAATAGCACGTGGTTTATGCTCCATTGCCACCATCTTTAAATTCTTAACTTTAGGGACTTCCCTGGTGGTCCAGTGGTTAAGACTGCATGCTCCCAATGCAGGGGGCCCAGGTTCAATCCCTGGTCAGGGAACTAGATCCCGCATGCCATAACTAAGAGCCTGCATGCCACAATGGAGACCCCGTGTGCCGCAACTAAGACCTGGTGCAGACAAATAAATAAAAAAATAAATATTTAAAAAAATTCTTAACTTTATATTTGAAATTTTAAGATGGATGGGACAATGCAACATGCTTGGGATCAGAGGAGAGAGGGTCTATGTGCATGTCCACCACCACTCCTTGCTTCCCATTCACAAAAAGCGTTTAAGTCCTGTGAGCATAGAATGCTGGTGGATGCACAGTCCAAGGGAGCTCATCGAGACTCAAATTCCCTGGATTCCGTAGTGTCGGTAGAATGTGCACACGTGGAGAAGTAAAATAAATACAGGGGTGCTAGTTTTGTGCAGTATCCAGTGTCCTAGTAAGAACAAAATACATATGCCTACATAGTACGAATTGTGAAATTTCAGTAATTCTGCGTACAAGCTAAATGTTCTTATGTTTGTATTTAAAACTGGTATTGCAGAATATAGAGTGGTAAATCTCATGCTAATGAGTTAAACTCAATTTTTCTTTACTTAGAGTGACAATAAATAGCAAATTAATGCTATTAATTAATAATAGTATAGTTAGTGATTAATAATAAATCAAAATAGAATGATTAATGTCATTAATAATAGCAAATTCATGCTATTAATTAAAACATAATGACAAGTGGAAAGAGGTACTACAGAAGAAAGGAGACAGCTTATATTTTAGTACCTTTAATGGCACTTTCCCCCTGCGTTTTGAACAAGGGGCCCTGCATTTTCCTTTCGTACTGAGACTCAGAAATTACATAGGCTGGCATGTTATGGAACATGGCAGTGAATAAGACATGCAATCCCTGTTCTGGAGCTTACGGTACTTCATAATGCCTAGAAGACTCGACTGTCTGTGCCTGGAATTGTTCAACATTTAGAGCAAAATTGAGTAAAGAGGCTAGATTACCCTCCAGGTCTGTCCAATCCGAAGATGACACTAACCACAGATTAAGACTAGACGGCTTTCCTGGTTTTATCATATGATACAAGAGGTCTGAAAGTGGACAAATCAAGCCAGCTCATTCCTTTTTGTAAATACTTTTGGGAAAAAAACCCCAAAATACCAAAACTAAACTAGTTTAAACTTTTATTTTAACATTCATTAATCATTCAGGGAACTAAGGGAGAAAACAAACAAAAATTCGCCGCTGGTATCTCTTGTGATATGTTAACCAACCCCTGGGAGGATGACACTTAGCTCTGAGTGAAAGAGCAGTTAACAAAAGTCCGAAGGGGAGAGGGGACCTGGATGTACTACGGGGTAACACTGGCTTCCAGTACAAAGGTTACACATTTTGAGTCTCGGTCAAAGCATGATCGTCTTACAATTTAACGCAGAGGAGATTTCTGAAGGCAAAAGTAGACATAATATGACAAAACACACCTGGCACCGTACACACGCACACCCCCCCACACACTCGAGATCAGATTTTGGGAAGTCAGAGGACAGCTCAGGCAAGGCGAGACCACTGGAAGCAAAGCAGGTGGAGTGCCTGTTTCCTTGCAGTTCACAGTCATTCCGTTCACCTGACCCCACAATTTATTTCTTGTAGTTTGCCGAAACATTCTTGTCTACTCCACTTACCTAATCGGTGAGGGAAGCCTACAGCTGAAACCCGATCTTGCCTCAGTCAACTGTCTCCTCTGGATCCGGGAGATCAGACCCCGCCCGCTCGAAATCGCTCCTCCCCTCACGGAGATCAAAATGGCGCCCCGCGGGTCGCCACTTCCCACCTCTCACTTTCTTCCTGGAGTCAAATTGTTATCGCGAGACTTCGGTCTCACTATTAGGTGGGGCACGCAGCCCGCCCATTCTTTCCTCCAGCGCGGTGATAGAGGTTGGTGGTTGTTAGCTTGTTGGAGTGCCGGGGGGTTCCGGAGGTTGGTGAATGCGGACTTCCTAGGGAGGGGTGGCGGGTATCTGGTACGCAGCTGAGGCCCATGCCGAGCCGGCGCTGGTTGGTGCAAGCTGTCTGCCCTCTCGACGGGTAGGAAAGAGGACGGGGGCTTCCGGGCCTTGTGGGCGGGGGAGGGTTTCCTCTTGTAGCTTTTCCCAGGCCCCTGCGTGGCATGGCGGGGTCCAGCCGCGGAAGTCAGTCCCCGAGGGCGGAGGGCTCGTGGTTTTTGTGGACTTCGGGCCTAGTGGCTTTACTGCGGCCCACAGTACACGATTATAGCATGGGCGTGGTCCGTTGTCTGGCATGTAGATGTTAAAAGGTGGTACATACAATACACATTTTTTGAATTAATAGGAGTTAAGTGCGAGGTAACCATTGCTGACGCCGTTCTCCTTGCACGAGGTTAGGCGCTTCCTGGAGACGCTCGCCCCAAAATCGCACAAAGTGCTGAAGGGGAATTGTTAGAGTCAGTGAAGGGCACTATCGCCATGTGCTCCTCGTCGCAGAATCTCGGAATAGGAAGCCACAGTTCCGTAGGAATGCTTTCTAGTTTCCGAAAAAGAGGTTTTGAGTCAACTTTAATTTTGATAATACGCTCTGATTTTTTTTTTTTTAAATCTCAGGTATACCATCAGTGCCATTGGATCCACTTGTTGAATTTCTTTTGGGGCAGTTATTTCGTGACTTATTTCTTAGATTTTGCATTTTAGAAAACTACGATAAAACATCATGAAATTACCAGGAGTCCGTTGGATATTTTGCAAATCTGAGATCTCTGTTACCTTATTGGTTTCCTATGTTTGAAGTATATTGTTCTTGTAGGATTTCTTTCATCGTTGCTCATTTGTCATTGCCAAGAATGCTAAAGACTAAGAACAATATACAAATAGGAAGAATGATGGCATCCCCGATAAGGGAGATGGAAAAGTAAAATCTGATATTATTTTTTAAAATTTTGTCCAAACTATTGTAAAGTATCTAAGGAGATCACAACAGTGCCCTTTGTCTTTTTCTTTTTTTAATCTGTAAGCCTTTCATCGGAAAGTTTGAGAATTCAGAACTTTTATATTAATACCCATAACAGCAAATTCCAGACCAGGAGTTTGGATAGAGGTAGTTAAGCCCTGCTGATTATTTTCCCGGGTATACTGAGGCCATACTCTGCCTTCTGGCTTTGTATGCAAAAGATTTTCATGCTAGTTCCCAACTGCTGTTGAAAAATGGCTTTTTGGCTGTTGTATGCTAAGCGTAAAATTAACATTTTTTATTGTTGCAGAAAGCTGTTTGATACTTTCGTTGGAAATTAACAGTACTCTTCTGGAATCTTCCATTGGATAGATTAAGGAGGCAAAACTGAAAGAGAACCTGTGAATAAAATCTAGATTTTAGGATTGACCTGAAATGACAGTTCCTACATGAAAATATTAAAAGTCTTGTATGTGATTTTGCCTTAATTTATGTGTAATTAATTTATATAATTGTCACAACTACATCAACATTTTCATTACTCTGATAGTAGCTGTTTACATTTATTCAGGGAAACAACATCACATTTACTGAATTTTGTATGGTCACAAACCTGTTTAAATCAAAGGACAATTGACAACAAATTTGAGAGGGGCTTGGAAAACACACACCAGGAATGGATTCTCTCAACTATGCAACGGCATCTGACTCAGCTGTGGAAATTGAGAATCAAAGGTAAGTGCTTTTTATTTTTTAAATAACAATCACCAGATTTTTCTGGAAAAGAGACTAGATGGTAATTTTACTGTATTGTGAATTACCGGGAAAGCATAAATCATTGTAGATAATGAGTGGTGGTAATGGTAATTTTCATGCATTAGAACAGAAAAGGAAAACCTGGTTTGCACAGGCCTTTGAAGTTTTAACTACTTATAATCGTGGGGCACGTCGTTAAATTAACTCAGGGAAACAGGCGTATATTCTCCAGGCCAAACTGGTATCTTCCTGATTAAATCATCCTCATTTTATAAGAAGAAAATGGATATCAGTAGGGAATCTTGTTTTAAAATCAACTTGTTCTTATATTCCACATTATCAGGGATGCTGGCTTATGTATATGATGAGAGGTATCTAGTCCTAATTGTTGATCTCACTGGGAAAACAAATGAGCATTTCTAGTATACTCACTACATCTCTGCTAGGATACTCTTGTTTTATTTAGAGGAGGCTTTGTCTTAGTTTAGCCTCTAGCAGTGAACAAGGCTGCCTTTGTGGAACTTACATAAAGGAAGATGATTTTTTGGCTAAGTGCTATGGCACATGGCATTATGGGCCACTTGTAGAGTGGTCAGAGCTAAGTGATTGGCTAGTACTGAGACCATCTTTTAAAAAATTACTTTGAGCATGGTTTTCTGCCTTGATTTGTAAAAGAAAAGTATATTACTGGTAATAAACACTCAGTAATATAAGAGGGTACAATTAATCTTTCCCTGTTTTCTAGTGATAACTCTTCCTCTGGTAGCAGCTTATTTAAAACTCAGTGTGTTCCTATCCCACCTAAAAGGAGGCAAAGAAACCCTATTAGAAAATTTGTTCACACACCTGAAAGTACTCAAGCAAGAGATTCTTCTAGTGACTCATCTATAGAGCCAAGACCATTGACTTTAAAAGCTATTTTTGAAAGATTCAAAAAAAAGAAACGTAAAAAGAGGAAATACAAACCAACAGGAAGATCAAGGGGAAGACCAAAAGGAAGGAGAAACACTAGAAGCTCACAAATAAATAAGAAACAATTTAAAGACAAAGGACCTGGTTTCCCATTTTTAGAATCAGAAAATGGAAGAAAACCATTACCTTGGAGAAAAATTTTAACCTTTGAGGTGAGTCTTTATATATGCTGATGCACATAGCTTAAAGTGTCTGAAATGAGTTGTTGGTCGCTATTAGAATTTAGATGTACCTGGATCATACAGTCTTCAACTTTTATACTTCTCTATACTGACTATACTGCCGCTTAAATGCCACCCCCCCCTTCAGCTCAAAATTCACTTGGACTTCTGGGTGGAATCTTGGACTGGTAACACGGGGTGAATGTATCTGTATATGAAGTGCTCTAAGGCTGATTTTATACCTTGATCTTATCCTGTCAGGGCTGTAAACACCATTCCTAAAACTCAAATGCCCAGTTTTATAGTAACCGAAGTGAAACCCATACCTGCCTTTCATGTTCAGTGGCTTTAGGATTTCATTTTGTTCAGATATTTCAGTTTCTGACAGAATTACCAAATAACGCCAGTACTTAGCAGTAGACTCTGAAATATTTGAGATAAGTGATTGCATAATTTGTAGTCACTTGTTCTAGAATCTGATTTATTGGAAAGGATTAATACTCATTAACCTCTTTATGTTTTAAGGTGATTAAAATAGACAGTTCTCTGCATTAAAAAATGTCTTAAGTAATGCCCAAATGATACAAGATTTGTGCTTGTTTTTCTTGGTACGAACTTTGATAACTTGCTAGGTGGAACAGTGAATTGATACACGTGATCTCCATATGGCAGAGTAGTTAAGATCACTAAGGACCTTGTTATGGGGATCCTTGTCATTTTGGAACATAGGCATTTGCTGAGTGGAAGAATTTTTTTTTAAGTCCTTGACTTAAAATATGGTGTTTTTGGTACATAGCAAGCAGTGGCAAGAGGATTTTTTAACTACCTTGAAAAACTGAAGTATGAATATTATCTCAAGGAATCCTTGAAACAAATGAATGTTGGTGAAGATTTAGAAAAAGAAGACTTTGATAGTCGTAGATACAGATACTTGGATGATGATGGATCTATCTCTCCTATTGAAGAGTCAGCGTAAGTTCTATCATGGATTGGAATAATTTTGGACATAGGTTTTATAAGATTAAGTGCTTTTAAATTTTAATGTTGCTCCATATGCTGTCAATTTGTTTAATAGTGATGTGAGCAGATAAAATATTAATAGACTTAACTGGTATTGCTGTTTCAGTTGTATGTCATGACAGTATACTACTCATTGGGTTATAAAAGATTTGTCATCTGAGTGATACACTTTTTTAACTATTGGAGTATAATTGCTTTACAATGGTATGTTAGTTTCTACTTTATAACAAAGTTGAATCAGTTATATATATATATATATATATATATATACATTGAGTGATATGCTTTTAATATTGCAGAGCAGAGGAGGAGATTGCAACAAATCTTGAACATGATGAATGTGATATTAAATTGGTGGTAAGTGACAATTTTATCCTACTTCATTTTGGGAGGACAGCTGTTGACAAAGGGAGAATTTTATCCTGTTGTGTTACTATCTGTATTTAAGTTTTGAAAGGTTCAGTGCCCTTGGTGCAGGGAATGCAAGAATAAAAATAAGAATTTTATGGATAGTTGGTGAGAACATGAATTATCAACACTATATCAGTAAAAACAATACTATTGTAAGTTTTCATGTGTGGTGTTGCTACTAGGACATCAGATGAGAAAATCAGCAGAAGTTAATTTGGATTTTTAACATCCAGATGTAGTATCCAGGTTATTTTAAGTAACCTGGAGTTTACTTATATGTAATTACTAACTGGTAAAGTTTCAGTTATTGCTTAGTATTGTTATTTCTTATGCAGGAGGATAATTATTTCATAATAAGTTCTGAATTACCAAAGAAGAAGAATGTATATTTGGAACAAGAGGAATATACTGAAGAAGCTGCATTGCCTAAAAAGAGAGCATCAAAATCCAAAAAACACTGGACAGAGGACAGAATGGCCTGAAAATAGATAGGATTATGACTACCAGACAAGGTAAACAGAATAGAGAAAAAGGAACGTTATAGAAAGAAAAGATGATAAATGTGAATACATATGCCAGCCTTATGATAAAAAAGAACCTTGTAAGAAAATAAAAAGAATAAACAAATTTATAAAACTCCTGAAGTAGTAATTATAAGAAAAATAATTAAAACAGTGAGATTATGTAGAAAAAACATTGAGGCTGTTAGAGCAGATATAATCACTTCCCCCAAAAATAAACAACGTCCTACTGTTTTTGCATATGGTGGTGTATTTCTGGGTAAGAGAACTTAAAGGTGCCATTTGAGCTTTGAATCAAATAAGATTGTAGTCCTGAAAAGAAAATCTTAGTTGCAGTAACCGCTAATGATTGACAGCCAGCCACCCTCCTTAGAGTACCTGCAACTCCATTTTTATTTCTTTCAGAGAAATTTAGTGTGAAATACCTATTAATGTAGTAAGAACTTAATGTTTTCCTTTCCTAACTACCTATATTTCAACTATCATTTTCATCACCACTGTATGTTGCAGATTATGCCACTTTATATACTGCATTTTACCATAGCACTTGTGTTTGTTTTTGTTTAATTTGTGGACAAAGACTTCTAGACAGGTGCACAAATAAATCCTCTTTTGCAACCCAGAGCTCATTGTTCAGTATGAGTTTTGATACAGATAAGAAGGAACATGATACCTAAGAGAGTCAAGTGATGGGGGATGTATGGATAAAGATTGCTTCCAGGACTATAGAGCTGAAAATTTCCGTCATATCTTAAGCTTTTAAATTATCAGCTGTATTGATTTAGTACTCTAATTTTAACATTGACATGAAACAAAGATGGCTTCTTTTTTTAGGCTTTTATCTTGAACAGAGTGTCTGGATAATTTTAAAAGGTATGTCTTATGCTTTAGGTGAGTTTGGGTCCAATTTGTGTAAATGTGATAAATTGTCAGAATTTAAAACCTCCATAGGTTTCATTATTGAAAGGCATTTTTGCCAATTTTAAATTTCTGTTCATAATGTAATTTCAGAAAACGAATCTCAGGATTGACATGCTTTATAGTGACATTGTGCCCATTTCACTTCACTTGAAGGAAAGGGTCCCAGAACTATAAATTAGGCAATTATAGTCAGAATCTTGGATATTCCTGCTTCAAGCATACACAACATATTTTTAACCTCCCCGCACCCCATATTTTTTAAAAGTTTATTGAAGTATAGTTGATATACAATATTAGTTTCTGCTGTGCAACAGAGACTCAGTTATACATATATTTCTATTATGATTTATCACAGGATATTGAATATAGTTCCCTGTGCTATGTAGTAAGACCTTGTTTATCTGTACTTACACATACAAGTAGTTTGCACCTGCTAATCCCAGACTCCCAGTCCATCCTTCCCCCACATCCCCCTCCTTGGCAACCACAAGTCTGTTCTCTATGTCTGAGGCTGTTTCATAGATGTGTTCATTTGTGTGGTTTTAGATTCCACAAAGTGATATCCTATGGTATTTGTATTTCTATTTTTGATTTACTTTGTTTAGTATGATAATCTGTAGGTCCATCCATGTTGCTGCAGATGGCATTATTTCATGGCTGAGTAATAATCCTGTGCCACATCTTTATCCATCTCTTCATGGAAATTTAGGTTGCTTCCATGTCCTGGCTACTGTAAACAGCGTTGCAATGCATGTATCCTCTCAAACCATGTTGTTCTCTGGATATATGCCCAGGAGTGGGATTGCTAGATCATATGGTAGCTCTGTTTTCAGTTTGAGGAACTGCCATACTGTTTTCCATACTGGCCGTACCAGTATACATTCCCACCAACAGTGTAGGGGGGTTCCTTTTTCTCCGACACCCTCTCCAGCACGTATTATTTGTAGACTTCTTGATGTGGCCATTCTGACTGGCGTGAAGTAGTACTTCATTATATTTGCATTTCCAATCATCAGTAACGATGAGCATCTTTTCATGTGCCTATGTGTATGCTTTCTTTGCAGAAATGTCTATTTAGATCTGCCAATTTTTTGATTGGGTGGTTTTTTTGTTATTGAATTGTACTATCCAATATTTTTATTTCTATTTATTTTTAAAATTTTTGGCCATGGCGCTACTCTTTATATACTTCATTACATCTGGACTGAACACGTTTACTAAACACGTCGTATGTTTTCAAGTTCTTCCCTTCAAATTTTGGTTTACCAAAATTTATGTTCTGCTATTAATTCATCCTCATGTGATGTGAAGAATTCCCAAATAACTTTTTTCTTGAAAACCTCATGGCCTAAATGAGATGAAATGTTGCTCCTAAAGATTACTTTATTTAATGTTACGCATGTTAATATGCTGAGTAATTTAATAATTATAATTTTGATTTAATCTGACCCTTGTTATTTAGATTTGCAGAAGGGATATATTTTTCATACACTTGTTTGGCCAGTGCATTCTTTTATTTTTGGCTGCACCGAGTGGACTGCAGATCTTAGTTCCCAGACCAGGGATCGAACCCGTGCCACCTGCAGTGGAAGCATTGGAGTCCTAACCACTATGCCAGGGAAGTCCCTACAGTGTTTTTAATGAATGCATAATCTAAAATGAGGTAGAAGATTTAAAAGTATAATGCTAGAAATGACTGCACAGGACACAAAATTTCATGAATCTGAATGATATAAAGTTTAATTAAATACACCCAATTTGTCTTCAACGATTCCCCAGTGGTCAGAACATCAGCCACATTAACATTTTTCTGTATTTTTATAATTGATATCAACTAATGAGAAAATACTTGATATAGTTCTTAAATTAAGGCAAAAATTCAGTGAAAGTAAAAATTTTGCAGTAATCTGGGAATTGCATAGGCAAAATACATTGCAGTAATGAAGTTCTTAAAAATCAAGCTTAAATTTATATGTGGAACTCTTCCTTTGGTTCATGTATAATAGCTAATAAGTACTTTGCATATTTTTATCTGTTGGTATAATGCTATCTTTTCTAAGCATTGTAAAAATACCTACCATGTGATTAATTCATGGGCTGATTTCCTTAAATTTCTTAGACATCCTTTGTGATGTCTGTTACTGCACAGTTTTGAACTCATCTAAGAGACTGGAGCTCTTTCAAATTGTTCTCTTGTGGACTTGTTTATATTTTTTAAAAAGCAAGCAGTGGTTGAGGTCTATCCCGATGGGGCTTTTTCTGTAAACCTACATCGTTGGAAACGCCTCATAGATTAACTGTGTGGTTTCCTTTACTCATAGAACTACCTGTTAGATCTGTGGGAAAGAACTACAAGACAGAGCTGCCAAGTAAACTGTGAAACCTAACCACCTTTTTATCTTAGGTGTTGGCATATCCCAATGATCTGTACTGTTCTAGGGTGTGATGGCTTAGGTAAGTTTTAATCAGTGACAGTGTAATTTGTGAACCGTTCAACTGCTGAATGATACAGACATGAACTAAAACTTAATTCTGATAGAGCTGAGTATGCTTAATATCTAAATATTTTAAGTTATATATTGAAGTTTTAATTTTTAATCACATGAGTATGGTATCCATCTTTTATTTGATATTTTATCTGCAGGAATGAACATGATTTGAACCTAATACATTTTTAGAGGTAAGTGGAATATTTAATTTCTATTCAAATTAAGGATTCAGAAGTTCTGAAAAGAATGTAAATTTTGACTATAGCATTCCATTACTGTTAATTAGGTATAAAACAATTATCAGGATTTTGGCCAAAAATACTGCTGTAATATTTGTGTTTACAGGATTGGAAAAAAATGAAGAGACAGCACTGACATGTAAATATGTATAATCGGATAGTTTCCTATGTAAGTTCTATAGGTATAGAGAGGGTAAAGGTAGCAATGGCTAAGTTTGTAGTTAAAAATGGAGTTAATGTAGTTGTCTTATTGGAATGACAAACTAACATGTTATAAGAACTTAAATTTTTAGAGATGTGTGAAGACATTTCTCAGTAACATTACAAACTTGAGATTGAGGGATTTTTCTGGTTCAGTCATAATTGCACTGCATGGTATCTGCATTCAGCAGTTTGTTCCTGCTGGGTGTTCAAAGGACAGTGCAATATAAATTCAGTATTTGGCATCGTTGGTTTTCTTGGCTTTGTGCATGTTAGACCTGGTATTTCTACTGATACAGTATTCCTATAGTTTCTCATACTGTTCAGTTTGACAGTCTTCAATAGTAACTAATACTATTTTTCTAGGGTGTCAAATTCAGAACCAGGCAGATCCATCTCCTGACCCTAAATATGTAAGGATTTCTATTTCTGTTGCTTCTAGTAGCTTTCCTGATAGCATTCTTAGCAAAACAGCAGAACTTCTACACAAGTGCAGAAGCCTTTTGCACAGTGTATATATAAGCTTGAGAGAAATGTTTATAAAGCCTCATACAGTTGAAAATGGGCACTGTTGTTCATGGTGCCCGTAAATTGTTAATGTGGCTACATTGAGAACACAGGTTTTGCTTCCATCACTGTAATTTCATTGCGGTGGTGACAATGAGACCTGCAACATTTTTTTTTTTTTTTTTTGCTAGGCTCATGAGTAAAAATTGGATATAAGGCTTTTCAGTATTAGAAAAGATGACGGGATAAATAGCAACATACTTGATATATTTAATTTCTAGGGTCCTAAAGTAAATCGCTTGAGGAAATTGGATCCCAAAGATTACAGGTATGATTTTAATTTCATTCTTTTCCCTTGTATATGAAAAAGACTATGATGTTAAAAAGGCCACTAGTTGTTTTACTATTTACCAGTGATGTATGATGTCATGATGATGGGCAAAATGTTCAACTGCTCTGAATGGGCTGAATGAAAATAGCCTTTCTGAACATGCATCTTACATAAAGCTGTATTTTAAAACATGAAAGCTCTAAGATAAAAGTTGCCTGAAACATGCATGTTTGGAAACAATCAGCTAAATTTAGGTGTGAATGAAAATGGAAACTAATCAGTCCTAGTTGCCATTACAATCTTTTTCTGTAGGTGGGGAATTTTGAAGTGTGTCCATATTTCATTGGAGATCAAAGAAGCCTAACTAAAAGAATTGTGGTAAGTAATTTTTTTTAAATTTTACTACACCAAATTATTTGTCAGGTTTTAATGGTCATTACCAAGGCTTTTAGAATGCAGTTTCTCATTTGCTGTGGACATGACCATAAAAAAAGTTTCCCACTAGGTTTTATTTCTGCTACTCTGTAGCATTCAGCCTGTTGGGAACATTTTGTTATTTACTTGTATTTCCATTGCCTAGGTCAGCACTGTTCCAGTATAAATAGAACACAAGCCATTTTTTTCTAATTAGATTTTACAGTACTGATACATGGGTAGTGACTATTATATTCAACAGTATATGTGCCTAGATTGTTGGAGTTCTTTGTTTAATCCTGGGCTTTTAGTTTATTACATTACAGGTTGCCTGGTTACTAAAGGAGGGGAGGCTGGCTTCAGAATTTTACATGAGCACCTCTGAAAATGGGCCCTTATCTTTATATTTGTTATACAGGGCTGACTCACATGATAACTTCTTTTTGAAAGGTATGTACACATTAAAGAAAATAATTAATTTTATAGGTCATTTCAAAGAGGGCTGATGGGACCACATCCAGGAGCTCTTTACGCTGTGACCAAAGACTGAGTTCTCCACTGGATATAATAGTAACTTGATAGTGCTATGTTTTCCGGATGGAGATACAAGCCACTCATACCCATGATTAGTGATGTGGAAAAGTAAAAATAAATTTAAATATCTTCCAACTTGAACCAATGTCTACTCTCTTCTTTAGGACTATTTTATCTTGAAGATTATGAGTTTGGAGGAACTAAGGTGATTGGCAGTGGAAAGAATCGGAATGTGTGAAATTCCTTAAAAATTTATTGACTTAAATAACTTTGTGTTACACATAATAAAAAAAACCCTTTTATACACTTTGTGTGGAAAGTCAGCATATATTTTTGGCTCGAAGTTTCTCTAATGTTTTCTGTGGAGGGAATAATAACATTTATCAGTTGTAGTTCTGATGTGCCTTAGACATGAAAAATTGGGGAGGGGGGCAGTGGCTGCTCACCTTATGAAATTCTTTTGCCTTTGCTCTGTTTTGGGCATATGCGTCTTGCTTTGCTTTCTCTTCCTTTTGCTTTTTCACTTCAGGTAACTGATGGTATAATCTGCAAGAAATTTATATGGAATTAAAGACAGACACTTAAGCTATGTGAATTCATGTATCTTCATATATCCACATACATACCTTATAGCCCTTTGGTGCATATGGGCTTGTGCAGTCTTTCTGTCTTCAGGAAGAGACACTCTAACCTTGTTCACACCCTTTAGGTGACTGACAAATGAACCTGAGTGGAGAACAAGTCATTTAATATATTATGTAATGCCAGATTCTCTTTGAAAACTGATGTGGAGAGTATACCTGTGGGTTTCTCCTTTACTATTTTGGTTTGAGAGCTTCCAGAGATACGAATTTTATTCCTTATTTCTTTCTGTCTTTGTGAGGATCTCTCCATAAATGCTTTTTTTCTTTTCATAAATGCTTCTTGTAAGCTCCCTGGAGTAGCTGTAAACTTTGAAAAGGTTTCTGTTTAAAAAAAAAAAAAAATCGAAGCTGTATGTCAGCAATATACGAACGTGTGGGGTTTCTGCTCAAGTAGGGGGAACCCCACTGGCCCCTAGGCTCACTAATCTGATACTCAGGGCATACATACCTGCACACACAGCTGGTTTCTCCACAGGATGTTCTGGTGCAGCTGGACAGTCTGAGTTTTGTGTTTCTGATAGAGGCAGAAATTCACTCACCTAATTGTGAGAAAGTCACAGACTTTACCACTTTACCTCACTGTACAGATTCACAGCAAAGGTTCTAAACTACCCATTCTAAACCCTAGGTCTTTTGGAACTGCCTTTCTAGAAAGTTCAGTTGTCAGCTTGTCCACTGTGAGCGCATTCATACAACAATCCTAATGTAAGAAATGCCATGTAGAAAGCTAAGTAAAACCATCCTTTTCTATTCCCTAATTCTCAACTATGGGTTGCTGTATAAAATGAGAGCTATGAAATTTACCTGAAAACAGCCCTTTGCCTCATTTTCTCTCTTTTCTTCTAGAGTTAAGTTTGCAAAATCCATTTCAGCAATACTGATATCACTGTTGCTTATCAATGTAAGTTCTGGTTCTTCCATTATACCATGGCCACATTCTGTCTCCTGTACAGTAAAATTAAAAAAACTATTCAAAAATCATAGCCTCACAAACAGAATGTGAAAAAATGTACATTATGGAGGAAAAACAACAGGTTCTTCAACTAAGGATAATGGAGAAGACGAACTACTCCACGGGTTACAGAGCCAAGTGCCTGCTGATTGGGGGCTGTGCAGAACTGCAGTGTGTGTGTCCCCAAGCTATCTGAATGGCCGTTGGGCTGCAGCTGAATGCTGCGAGACCACAAATTGCTTCAACCATGTTTTGTTTGTTTTCTGATGTGGACCACTTTTAAGTTACAGTATTGCTTCTATTTTATGGTTTAGTTTTTTGGCTGCCAGGCCTGTGGGATCCTAGCTCCCTGACCAGAGATGGAACCCAAACCCCCTGCATTGCAAGGCGAAGTCTCAACCACTGGACCAACAGGGAAGGCCCTAAACAACACTTTATTAAGGAAAAACCCTTTCGATACTGAACAAGAATTTACCAAAAAAAAAAAAAATCCAAAAGCTGCCAAGTAAATCACCTTATTTTTTGCTTATCTGTGGAGGGACAAACATAGTACTAGAAGGTAAGCTGAAACCAAGCAGATTAATCCAGTGCAGCACAATGAGGTTCAACACCGTTACGTGCTGAAGCGTAGGCTGAGCCACCATTTTTCAGGAAAGCTAGAGAAAAGAAATGCGAACTGGGAAGATCTGTAAAATTCAGAGGAAGGTCAAATTTTAAAAATTTGCTTTCTCATTTCATTGGAGATTTCCAATGATTACGAGATTGACTATATCTCAGCTCTGTTGCATCTCTTGCAATTGTTTAAAAAGTCTGAAAATGAAACCAAAAATTACATACAACACAGATTTCACTTACCCAGATTGGAATAGAGTTCTGTAATGAAAACGATCCAGAACTTACAAAGAGCTCTGACTGTGCTAGTTGAGTTTGGTTTCCTATGATTGTTGGAGTTTCTGCGGTAGTTGAATCCTCAAGACATTTTTCATTCTGAACAGTGACTGAATATGGTGTCTGAATTGAAGTTCTTACACATAATTGTGGATTTATATTTAAAATGCCACAGGTTTCTTCATCATCAGTGAGCCCTTGGCCTTGTAACACTGTACCTTCTCTTTCTGACGGTTCTTCAAAGCCCAGTCTGTCTGTTCTGCCTTCTGGTTGGTCTTTCACTGAGCACTCACTAGAGGCAGAACCACATGGAGTGCTATGCTGTAGATGTAACTGACGAAATACATTAGCCTCACCAGATGAACTGAAGACTGAACTTTGCAAATTTCCTACAGAGAGCTGGAAATGAACACTTTTTTGCTTGTTTTGTAATATTTCATTCTGTTCAGAGGAGGAGTATTGATTTTCCACCCCTTGGGAAGAATCTCTCACTTCAATGCTGCTAAATATACTTGGTAAATTAGCATGCTGGCTTCCTTCCTGTGAAGAAAATTCTGGCAGAAGTTGTTGAAAAGATTGTTCAGACCCTATAAGAAATCAGTTGATCATAATTATATGTTGTAAAACTTGGATAGAGATACAGTCTCTAATAGTTGCTGAGAACATTACAAATAATAAAGTCAGGTTACTTAAAATTTTAGGAATAAAAACTGATGTACACAGACATGAGTAGAAAGTTAAAGGATGGTCACAGCGATTTTCGAATAACTACTGCTCACACCATGTATTTTCTCCTATAATATTTAACAAAGGAACTATGACTATTAAACACGAGGACTTTTCCCCCCATAACAGAATATTGACTTTATAACAGAAAGACTTAAACATGCATGTGCATCTCATATGTTGTGATGTGTGCATATATATATATAAAATTTGTATAAAAAGTTTTAGAAGGATACTTAAACTGATAACTGTAAGGGTTGAGGTAGGGAAGTTGAGCAAGAGGCAGCACTTTTTATCAAAATACCATGCGAACAGCATATATTACTTCTGTTATTTAAATAAATATACAGAGAAACTGGTGAGGAGTGGAGACAAACCAAGAGCTACTAGGTACAATTTCCAAGGAAAACTGATATAAATAACCATGAAAAACCATTGAGCTTTATTTAACTTTTCTGAACTTCTACATACCTTCAATAACATTTTCTGTAGCAAAACTCTGAGCTTCCTCACGAGCCCAGTTAGGGTCAGGCTGCTGGTTCAGGCTGGTGTTAAGAGAATGCAGGCTGGTCCTCAGTGCTGTAAAAGAAGCTGTACTTTTGGGTGACAGACTAGAACGGAGGCTTTCACAGGAGGAATGTGACCTCTGATGGAAGACAACCGGGAAAGGCTGAAATATTAGTATTTACTATGTTGAATCAATCTTTTATGTTTCTTTGATATTATTCTTCCTTAATTACCATTTTACTACCACATAAACCACTTGCTATTCAAACCCAATTCTTTCACTTTAGTAAATATGAAAGACTTATTGTTTAGAAAACAAATTATGAATTAACAAGACAGAGTTCAGAATATGACTGAATCATTTTCTGATAAGCAGGAACTATGCAGAGCTGCCTGGAAACAAAGACCCAGGTTTGAATCTTAGCTCCTTTATTGTATAGGAAGACACTTTAAATTTTGCAAAATTCTGTCTACCTAAGACTGAATTCCGTTAAAGTAACCCCACCCCCCAAAACCCTGAAGACAAGTTTTTTTTGTTTTTTTGTGTGGTTTTTTTTGCGGGCTTCTCACTGTTGTGGCCTCTCCCATTGCGGAGCACAGGCTCTGGATGCACAGGCTCAGCGGCCATGGCTCACGGGCCCAGCCGCTCCGTGGCACGTGGGATCCTCCCGGACCAGGGCGTGAACCCGTGTCCCCTGCATCGGCAGGCGGACTCTCAACCACTGCGCCACCAGGGAAGCCCGACAAGTTTTTATGGGTCGTCATAGCTGGAGATGAAACTGTTGGGACAAAATTCTAATGCATCTGTTTTCAATCTTGGTTCCGCATTATAAGCATTATAATCACTGTATCTGACCATTCCTAAGGATTCTGATTTAATTGGTCTGAGGTACAGTCTGGGCACTGGTATCTAAAAGCTTACCAGATGATTTTAATTGGCAGCCAAGGCTAAGAAGCACTGTTCTAACAGAAGAAGACAGTTTTTGGAAATTCATTGCAAAGAAGCATCTACTTTATTATACCTGGTAAAAGTCTTTGCTGTCTTGAGAAATCCCAGAGAAAGATGATGAATCAAAATCTGGATGTGGTTCTAAGGGTTTAAACAGCTGACGATGCAAATTTGGAAAACTGTGCTCCAGTTCTGGAAAGTCAAAGTCAACTGTTGGAATTTTAAGGGAAAAGGACACTTATTTTAAAAATAAAGCCTAGAAAAGTAGTACTAAGAACATACTCATAAAGGTTATTTTAAGATAACTCCAATTCAACAAAATTACTTGCATTTTTTTCATTACCAGCAGATGCTTTCAAATTAAGTCCTGCCGTTATCTCTCATGTACAAAAGGGGCGGGTGGTGGCAGTGGTTTGACCAGAACCTTTGACAAATGCAAGTTTCCAGTTCTACTAGCCTCAAGGTCTTTATGGGGTTAGTTAGGAGTAAGATGGCATCATGGTCACTGCTTTGTTACAGTAAGCTTTGTTATTCTCAATTAGCTCATTTCAGGATCAATGATTTGAAAAAAAGAAGAAAAGCTCACCGTATGGAGTGTTGCCACAGGCCAGACACTGACTGCACTTTATGTGCATTATCCCAAACACCCCTCCTTCCACTGGAGACAAAAGAGTAAGCTGCCTGTGGCCTCACAGTTAGGAAACTGGTCAAGAGGTCTGATTTCTGAGTTCTTGTGCTCAGTATTGGCAATACTGAGCTACTGTAGTTAACTTTGCAAAGGTGAAGGAAGATCTGCTCATCTCTTCTACACTGTCTCAGTCAGTCTGTTTCCAAAGCCCCTCTCTCATTAAGTGCCCTCCTCAGCGTTTTCCATGTTATAACTGCTACAGCAAGCCATCAAAACATAAAGCTCAATCACTACTTCCAACTAAAAAGGATGAAAGGTTAAAAGTTAAAAATACTTAGTTTACATGAAAGTATTTGTTCACAATTTTACCCCGCAAGTCTGTTTTTTCAGTCATCAAATTTGCTTCATTTATGTACTTGTCTGTCATCTGCTGAATGTGTGTCTGACCAGATGTAAATGTTTCCAATGCAGGTAAAAGAGGTTTAAGGGCGTCCTGAGGGTCCTGTCTTTGATAAGTAACTTGTGTTGAAGGAACTACAGAACTTAAAACATTTGTTTCCTCTTCTTTACTGGTGGGGGATTCTTGTTCCCTCTGGTCCACAAGCTCTGAAAACGACTCTGAAAATTGGGTTTAATGAAAATATTTAGTGGTCTGGGTACTTCGAGACAGATTTTAGCAGAGAGGCATAGCAATACACATCGATAAGGAATCAGTGCAGCCAAGAAATGTGCTCCGCAGATTTCCACCAACATTAGCAGACCCTCCTCAACGTGCTACTGGAGATCGGCAGAGTGTCTCTGCGTCTGCAGCCCCGTGACTTCAATCACGATTACAATGTCATACTGTCCAATATTCTAAAGGCATGATTACTTTTGAGATTTAAAGAACAATCCCTCTCAGCACCTTGTGAAAAGCAATGTTGGCTCTCACCGCTGCACTGCAGTGCAACTGGTGCTTCTCTTTCAATTTATTTATAAACATTCTGATATTCTTACCTGTAAGGCTCAAATCTGTGTTTTCATAACTTAAAAAGCTCCCAGTAGAAACAGTTATCGAAGATAATGGCTCATGATAAATTTCTTGTGTTTCAGCCTAAAAATTAAGGAGAACATTACGCCACAATGTAGGAAGTAAAATCTAGAAAAAATCCAAATCAGCAACATTAGCAGTTATTTATTCTGAGCTCAGATCAAGTGTAGAAACCTTCATAGTTATAAAGGTCCGTAGTAAAACCTTTTCATCATTGCTCAGAACTGATCAGCCTTTCATACACACACACCCCCAGCCCACTCTCACTCCCCCATCAATAAGTCCTCAGTTATCCACTGTCACCTTTACACACACACACACACACACACACACACACACACACACCCCTTAATGTTTTAAATTATTCTTTTGCTTCTCAGAACTATAGAGATCATGCATCAGGTAGACTAAGAGGTCTTCTGATGCTCAGATTTGGCTGTTTTCATCACTGATCCACTCCAGGACGAGCAGATCTCAGAGAACATGGACTTTAATATTCCACAACTTCTGTAAACTAAAAAGACAATATGAAGCCAAGCAACTCTAACAATGCAGCACACATCAAGACATGACTAACCTTATCATCTGGCTTCACAATTGGACCCAGGTACGTATGGTCTTCTTCCTCCACAGCGTGACTTAACACTGCATGATTCTCAACCACAGCCTCGCTGACCTTGACTAAAATGAGGAAGGAGGGGGAAGGTCTGGATTATGACAAACTTTTAGCACCAGAGGGCATAATTTCCTGCTTTCCTACAATTTTCTTTTTTTGCTTTGTAGAGTTGCCTTATCTTAGACCAAAAAAAAAAAAAAAAAATTCATGTTATTATTCATTAAAAGCATTTAGGACTTCCCTAGTGGCGCAGTGGTTAAGAATCCACCTGCCAAAGCAAGGGACACAGGTTCAAGCCCTGGTCCGGGAAGATCCCACATGCCTCAGAGCAACTAAGTCCGTGTGCCACAACTACTGAGCCTGCGCTCTAGAGCCCATGAGCCCCAACTACTGAAGCTCGTGCGCCTAGAGCCCATGCTCCGCAACAAGAGAAGCCACCGCGATGAGAAGCTCGCACACCGCAACGAAGAGTAGCTCCCGCTTGCCGCAACTAGAGAAAGCCCGCGCACAGCAACGAAGACCCAATGCAGCCAAAAATAAACAAAATAAATTAACTAATTAAAAAAAAATTTATAGTTAGCACAATATAATTTTTCATGGAAAACTGTAGTTGTCATTATTATTCTATGAATAAAACCCTTTAGAAAAGAGCCAGTATGATGGGAAATGCTTTTGTCATTAATTTTAACTGAAGAAGGAAGAATATTCAGTTATAAGTACAGTGTGATCTCAAAGGTGAGACAAATGCACATAAAAAAGACAAAAACACCAAGTGCAACCAGTGGTTGCTTAAGAATGGTAGGACAAGGAGGAATTCTGCTTCTTTATAACTTGCAGTGCTGTCTAAAATCACAGTGAGCATACACTGCTTTTATTATGAATTATCATTCCTAATTACATTTGACATATTAAAAATACATAAAAATTATACTTTCTGTCTCACTATTAGTAATCTGGGTATTCTGAGTTAGTTTTTCTCTTACTCCCAATAGCCAACATTTGTGAGAAAGCCGGCCAAGGCATACGGTCATCTGTGGCTCTGAAATAGAATAAAATTAAAAGTGCTCCGCCAAATATAAACTAAAATTTCTGTCTCATTATCCCCATGATATTATTAAAAGAGATCATGAACATTAAAAGTATGTTTCTTAGATATTTGTGTAAGAAATGTTTTCTAAGAGGTAACCCAGGACACATTGCATTCACACATATGTATCTGTATATGTGTGTAGATACATTTATTCATAAAATGATATCTATATTATGGATAATAAAGTAAAAACAGCAAATATCAAATATTATATTTAAATATAATTTGTTTTTAAATACAATTTTTTACCCACTCCTAGTTCAATTAAAAATATATTATTGTGATACAACTGATTTAACCATTAAACTGTTATTTGGTTGCTTCTTTACACACTAATATTTTAAGTGAAGAAAGTGAGAGATGGTGAAACTTTATAGTGAGTTTTTATTTTTTCTTAAGCAGCTCATTTCAAAAGCTAGTTGTGAGATGAGAAATTACGGGTTTACCATTTCGTAATCACAGTCCTATAACTGTTATTATCTGTAACAAACCAAAGAAGATTCCCCCAGAGGAGGGTGACCAGTAGCACTTGGGTAGTGATAAGAATTGAAAAATAAAAATAAGGGAAAGAAGCAAGGTCAGAGTTAAATAGTGAAACTGCAGTTTTGTGAAGGTGTTAAATGAGGGGAGAAAAGTCTGAACATAGACAAAACCATGAATACTGTCCAAACCACTAAAATGACCTATCAAGGGGCTTCCCTGGTAGCGCAGTGGTTGAGAGTCCGCCTGCCGATGCAGGGGACACGGGTTCGTGCCCCCATTTGGGAAGGTCCCACATGCCGCGGAGCAGCTGGGCCCGTGAGCCATGGCCACTGAGCCTGCACATCTGGAGCCTGTGCTCCGCAACGGGAGAGGCCACAACAGTGAGAGGCCCGCGTACCACAAAAAAAAAAAAGACCTATCATCTCTTTATCCTGGCTAACATGAGTGACTGCTGCTTAATCAAGTACAGCTTTACTTAGTCTAACTCCATTATTCCTACCTCCTAGGGAAGAATTTTGTAGGTATCCAATAACAGGATCACCCTTGCTTCCTGGTAATATCCAATACTAACAAGCAAAGCCCTATTTCAAAATACTTAAACCCTCCTCAAAATCACCTAATAAAGCCCAAATCTTATAGTAAGTCCCTTCTAATACCCTCTCACTAATTCATTGGCCTCATGGTTCCCCACGGTGTGCATTCTCCCTCACTACAACAAGTCAAAGCACCCAGCTTTCTTCAATTACATGTGTGTTCTTGGTAGTCTTTGGCTAGAGGACACTGACAGGTAGAATAAAAAGGGGGCTTCCCTGGTGGCGCAGTGGTTGAGAGTCCGCCTGCCGATGTAGGGTACACGGGTTCGGGCCCCGGTCCGGGAAGATGGGA